ATATATATATATATATATATATATCCCTTACATTTGAATATGTTGATGTTGCCCTGACCAAACATTCCATCTCTCTCCTCTGTATGTCGGCAATACTTCTACGGCCGTGCCATCCTCTGCGATGAGAAGATAAACATCCACAAGTTCCGCCAAAACACTGTTGCGCTGCGGGCGAAATACCACGGGAACACCAATATCAAGAATGGAACTATCATCTGTATTGCCATCTTGTCTGGAGGCCACCGCAATCTCAACCTCTGGATCCATCTGCATACACAAGCTACCATGCACTGTCTGTAGATGCATAGGATACACCGCCTGTGAAGAAGGAAGACTTTCTCCAAATCCACTACACAAAAATAATCGCCGTGAATTACACATCACCACTCGAGTGGTGGTAAGAGCAAAGAAGAGGGCTGGTGTGAAAATGGAATCTATATAACGATCCAGTCTCTGATCACACAACAATCCACTGCCAATACACACCTCTGTAAGTGTATCATCATTTGCAGAATTCACCAGAGAGGCGCTACTACCACCTGTGATGATAAAATTATCAAATGAGAGTTGTTTCTTATATGCAAGCCAACGCAGAATAGAACGACGACGTGCCTTTACGTGTTGCTCTGCACGATTTTTATACCATTTCATTAATGGATACGACATAAACCACCGTGCGGGTATACAACAGGAAATACCTTCTGTCGCCACAGGACCAACATCTGCACAGGCAACATGTGTACCCTCTGCGAAGGATATCCCTTGAATGATGAATTGTACTCCAACGGGTAATTTTTCTTTTTTCATCTTTGTGTTAAAATTTTCCACTTCCGTGAAGAAATCCATAACTTCTTGTTCTGTGCGAATTCCATATGAACTTGTATCTCCTGTATTTTTCTCTTCCATTCTCTCATACTTAGGGTTCAACTTTTGCAGGGTATCAAAGAGATTCATTGGTTGAAGTGATGGATCTACGAGAATGATCACATTTATCTCAAGTGATTCCACCGCGTTATCAAATCCCAATTTCGTATATTTATTATCACGAATCCACGCCTTTGCGGCTCCCCACAAAAGCTCCAACTGTCGCACCGCATTCACCACAACACTGCAGCGCACCTTCGCCACTGCAGCACCACTCCCACTTTTATTCTTTTCATTACCACTTGTTTTTGTTTTTCCGGGTGTGTGTAGGGTCATGGCCTCCAGATACATCTCAGCATCCACGGCTTCTGTTAACGGTCGACTGAGTAAAAGAGATGCAAAGGAGCCGCGGTTCGCCCACCAAAGCATTTCCAACGCCGTGGATGTACACAAACCGGCAACAAACGGCGTCTCGGGAGTAATGGTATCATACTCCACACATGGATGCGCGAGGCGTTCGAGTAGCACCGCCGCCCGCTCGAGTAATTCTGGACATCGCATATTAATAGTCGACAGACGAATTTGTTTCTTACCGGCGAGGAGGGCTAATCCAACACTACGTACATTGGCCTCAAATGCCGTGTTATCCACAAAGGCGACCGGACACCAGGCAAGTTGCATAGATGAGGTCAGTTCCCCCGGTCCACGCAGGGCTTCAGAAACTCCCGCATGAATTGTTCCACCCACTGCGGGTAATAATGATGGGGAGGAGGATGAAGTGATTGCTGCTGTTGCTATTCTTGTGTCTGATAGTGGTGGGGTGACCGCCTCTGCGGCTTCTGATTTTTCCTTTCCTGTTGTTGTTATTCCATCGGATGTCGTTGCCGTGGCGACGCATTTGTTGCCTGGGTGTAAGAACGGGAAATGGGCGGAACTCCCAATAAAGCCATTCCTTGATAAATACACGTGAAAGAGTTGTACAGATCGGGGGACGATGAGACGACCACGACAGAGATTCCAAGCACGACGGTACTGTGTGATGGCGTATACAGAGTACGCAGCAGAGAGAACAGCTGCGGCAATAATGGAAATACGACCAAGAAATTGCATTTTTCTTTTTCTTTTTCTTTTTTTTTTAATGATTTACTAAACCCTCCACTAGATACACACTCCTCACTGGCAATCTCGGAGTTTCTTTTTTTTTCTTTTTGCTTCTCTTCTGTTTTTTTTTTTGTTATTTTCCTTTTTTCCAGCCCCAGAACTTTTTTAGCGTATTAAATAGGAACAGGTACTCTCTCTCCTATTCCGACTAATGTGGCCGAGTTCTCTTCTCTACCTTCCTGTTTTTTTTTTCTTTTCTTTTCCTTTTATTCTCTTCTTCTAATTGCTGTCTTTTTTTATTTTTTATTTTTGCTCTGATTCTTTTCAAGAAGTATAGTGACCCTTTCACTACTCACTTCTTAGATTTATTGATCCATACAGAAAGAGAGAGAGAGAAAAAAAAAAAAAAAGAGAAACGAATCATAAGTAAATAATAAGCATTTAATTTAAAAACATTTATACCGACAGAAGTTTGCAGAAGGGTACCTCATTCTCTTTGGTTTCTTCTTTTTCTTTTTTTTTTTTTACCTCTTCTTTCGACTATTCTATAATGATATGGTCTCTTTCTATCCCATTATGTCCACTCTTCGTGTTTAATATCTCCCCTTTCCTCCTCCCCACTTTTCTTTATTACTTCCATTGACTCACTAGAAAGAGATATATAGATAGATGGATGTATGCATATTTCATTCTGTGCCTTGCTGTCCACGGTTGTATCTCTTCAACTAAAACGTTCTTCTCTCTTATTTTACAATGGAGTGATTAACTCACGAATGCGTCGATATTCGTCCTTTGATAATAACAACCCACCACTACTAGTATTAACATTATTCTTCTGCTGTGGTTGTGTTGACTGACACCTGTAAGATTTCCCAAGATGTTGCTGTCGCCCCTTTATCATAGAACTTCTACCGTTCCTTGCTGTTTCTGCGCCAGATCTCAACATGGATCTCGTTGTCATTGTGTTATTCGTATTCGCAGTAGTATTAGTATTCGTAGTATTATTAGTATTAGTATTAGTATTAGTATTCGTAGTTCTGTGTGTCATTAGGGATGAAGGAATAGATGCAGAAGATCCAGGTCTATTGCGAGTTGTCATTGTTGTTGTTGTTGTTAGTGTAGAGGCGGAAGCAGGACGTTGTAGTAACTCTGGTGATGATGTTTTCATACCATTCACTGTAGTAGTGGCAGCAGAGTGAGGCGTCCCATATGTACACCAGTGACGTTTTCTACACATTTCGCTTCGGCTCCAGTTTTTATTTAAGACTTTAATGGGCTTTTCAAAGGATTTGATATTGAGAGATGCGGCATCAAAGGATGTGTCTGTACACACTGTGTCTGCTACTCCTACTTCTGATGGAGATAATAATGATAATGATAATGATAATGATGATGGAATTATATTTTCTGTGTTGACTGTTTGCATACACTTCGACTCTACGTTTCTCTCATTCTGATATTCGCCTTGCATGAGTCGCTTCATCACCGGTACTCCGTCTTCGCACAACTGTCCACCACGACTCCTTGCACACAAGTACGTGTCTAGCCCAATTTTATTAGAGCCTACAAGTCTCTCGGAGGTGGAATGAAGATTGTTGTGATTGTTCTTATTGTTAAATTGCCGCTCAATTGATTGGTTGTAAAGAGCCGCTATTTCATCTCGACGTGCCGCGCGAAGACGTTCGGCTGTTGTGCGTGGGGCGGAATCATCCCTCCACATTCTCTTTAATGTTTGTATATGTATATATGTATATATATCTGTATGTATATATAAGCCTTCTATAGGTGTTCGTAGTGATATGGAAATAAATCACAATATTTTGTATTTGTATCTCTATAATTGTTTATTAGTGTGTTGGTAATGAGTTTAGAAAAGAGTATGGACAATTATCTTTTCTTCACAGAGACCAGACACACAAACACACACAGAGAGAGAAAAGAGAGAAAACCTCCTCACCTTTTCTTTTCTAGTCACTTTCTATGGAATTTTTATCGATGGATCTGTCTAATGCAAGAGAAGAGAAAATATGTAATGGTGAAGATAATAATGTTTATAGAGTAACATGTAAATAATAGTAGTGAAACACAGGAAAGAATACAGTGGACGTAAATGTATAAACCATAACAATAAATAAATAAATAAATAAATAAAATAAATTAAAAAAGACAAAATTTCGATAATCAGAATCCATAGAAAGGGAGAGTACGATAAATGATAATAATTGAATGAAAAAAGAAAAGGGGAAATACAATGAAAGGAATTATATACCCTGCAGAGTTACGGTGTTGTCATGACGTTACTACTACTTCTACTGTTATTACGTTCCCCACTGTAATACCGCAGCGCAGGCCAGGAACTGAATGAACCCGGTGCTGGCAGAGAAACACTAACACCAATATTATTCTTATTCTTATTATCAGACATAGCTGCGGCGACAAGTGCCTCTAGCGATAACGATGATGATGGTAGCGATGCTGATGTAAAAAATAAAGAGGATGCCGAGACACCACGAAACCTATTGTCACTACTATTCGGATTATTATTATTATTACTATTAATAATATTATTATTGTTATTATTATTATTATTATTATTATTAATAGTAGTATAATTAGTAGTAGTTTGAAAGTCATCTGCTGCGAGAACTTCTGCCATAACGCCTGGTTCAATATACACCGGTGGGCGAAGTGCATGTACTTCTGGTCTCCGCCCCAACACAAACGGCTCTACAATTGTACGTCCATACATCGTGTTGCCATTATTATTATTATTATTATTATTATTATTATTATTATTATTAATACTGCTACCTGTGCTGGCGTTACGACGGGCTTCAAGTAATGCGGCAAGTCGTCTGGCCTGTTCTTGTCTGCGGAGAAACAACGCCACGCCCGGTGTGGACTCCAGTAGACTCTCTCTACCGATTTGTTGTTGTTGCTGCTGTGGTGATTGTGATTTCTCGGATGGTGAGTGATAGTGATGTATCTTTGGGGTAAACGTACACTCTTCATCATAATCCGTCTGTAGTGATCGCTGTTCCGCCAGTTTCTGTTCACGGCGGCGTTGCCATAATAAATTGCGTTGCTGCACTCGCAGTACGGATCCACCGCGGGGTGTAATAAAGGAGGAATCCCCACGATGTGTACTTTCTTCTCTTTGTGCGGTTAATCCACTTCTTCTTCTTCGCTCACTGCCATTATTATGATTATTATTATTATTATTATTATTATTATTATGATTATTATTATGATTATGTGTATGGATGTTTACCGTTGTATTCATCGTCGGTGTGTGTTGTTGCCGGGGATCCGGTGATGTGAGGACGGGTGGAGTGTTTAGATTCTTCACTCGCAGAGACTCTTTTTTCTCTCCTTCTCCTTGTGGAGATGAGGGATGGATATCATCTCCATACACCGTGGACCTTATCCCCATTGGACTACTGTACTTCACATGAAATTGTTCCTCTTCTTCTTCATATTCCTCTATTTCTATTTCATTTTCATTGTTGTTGTTGTTATTATTATTTTGGATCTTCTGACGTTCTGCCTGTTCCTTTTGCTGTTGATGTTGAATCCACGCGGAGTTGGCAATAAGTTTCTCTCGTTGCCGTAAGAGAAATTCATCCTCGGAAGGTGTATCCATCTCCTAGATGGGGTAGGAAGAAGAATATATATAAATAAATAAATAAATAAATAAATAAAGTGTAAATAGAAATAAAATTTAAATACAGGTTCTTTCTTTCTCTCTTTCTTTTTCTCCACTACTATCTACTAATAGTGGGCAATAGAATGTGGGTAGTGCTAGAGTAAAAAAGAAAAAAGGGGAAAAGAAAAAAAAAAAAAAAAAATTCCCATGAGTATACGAAAATACAAATTGGACTTGAAATTCACCCCCCAAAAAAGATAAATATTAACATAATATGTGATTTTCATTTTTCCTTATTTACCCCAAAAGAAAAGGGCAATCGATATGACGTGCGCCGTTGGCATTATCATTGTCATTCTGCATACAGCGAGAGAAGTATAATGACACCATATCACAGATAAATTATATTATGTAAATATATATATATATATATATATATATACATGTCTGTGTGTATATTAACTCTCACTCTTCTGATTGGCAATATTAAGAATAAAAACAACGACATCGTCCATTCCTTTCATAAATGGCTGTATAAATACGTTGAAAGAGTATATCCTCTCAGGGTGTCATTACAGTATTCCCAGAGTGACTACTACTCTTATTACTGCTGTATTTCCTCTCTTCTCATGGTAATAACATTGTGTCTAGCAATAAAACTAAGAAGAAGTAAAAAAAAAAAAAAAGAAGATATAGAAGAAAGGCAAGAAAAATAAATACAAACATAAGAAATAACAACAACAGTGGAATATATATATATATTTGAATTATATCAGTTCAACATTATTACATTTCTTCAGTACCTTTTAAGAAGGTACAAGAGAAGAAAAAGATCAACAAGATCACAAGAGAAAGTTGGACTCAATAAAAATATATAAATATATAAATAAAGAAAATGTAAACAAATGTACATTTATTTATTCTGACGACCTGCAATAAGAATGCTTAGGAGAATATGAGTTACCGTTTTCATTTCACTACACTTTTTTTTTGTTTTTTTTTTTTTTTTCCTTCATTTGCCAGTCACTGCAAAACGAGAAAAACAGGGCGAGAAATCCCGATGTGAGGAAGAAAAAAAAAAAAAAAGAGCTACAAAACAAAAAAAAGGACAGAAGATTCATGAAATCAAAAAGAAAAAGATAATAAAAATAATAAAAAAAAACGATTTCATGTTTGTCTTCCTTTTTGATCTTCTTCCATATTCTAGTTATTTAATAACTCTGTTTACACGTACACACACACATATGTATACATGCTTTCGTATAAAGGGTGACGAAAAAAAAAAAATAAAATAAAACATTATCGGGTAAATTACAAAAGAAAGATATTAAACACACACACAGTCGCTTGGATTACGCAAAAAAAAAAAGAAAAAAAAAAAAAAAAAAACGTCAGACAAAAAAAAAAAAAAAAAAAAAAAGAGATAGATAGAAGTAAAGTGAGAAAAAAAAAGAAGAAGGGGGTAAATAATAGGCACATCAAAGCCGTTAGCATAAGATAGCGATTGGACAGAGGAAAAAAAAAAAAAACACATCTATTTTACCATCATCCATCTTATTCCTCATTCGCTTTTCCCAAATACACAGACTCTCATCACTACTACTATTATTATTATTATTATCGTAATCATATAATATCAACTATTTCTATTTTCTTGCCTTATCAAATCCCCTTTTTTCCCCTCATCCCTCCCTTTCACTGCCTCAAAAAACAAAAAAAAAAAAGGTTTTCCATAAACTTCCAGTCTACACATCCCCATAGACTCGTTATGGAGGGCAATCAAAAACAACAGTGGAAACAGATCCGTAAGAATAACAAGGTCAAAAAACAAAAAAAAAAAAACTCACATTTTTTTTTTCTCCAACATTTTAATTATTTACTATTATTATAAATATTATTATTTCCTCTTCTCCCCACTCCCCATTCCCCATTCCCCTTCCCTATTGTCCACACTTATCAAACCCGCATCGCTGTTGTTGGACGCGGCGGCGGCGGCTGTCCGCTGCGGTCTTTGCCCACTCGTAGACGACCATCGCGGCCCCGCACACCGGCCCCGCCTTCACCAGCGAGGCGCCCAGTCCTCTGTACATCCCCCGCACACTCATCCATCCCACCATCCCACCACTGCCGTACACCCCATGAGGAATGGAAACACCACCACGGAAGACTCCTACACCCCGCGCCTGCGCCATTGTCTTGATAGTGTCGAGTGGATACAAGAGAGTCCACGTCGCCATGGACGCGAGGCTGCCGGAGAGAAATGCGAGTTGTGGCGCGGAGGCATCACGGAAAACATCCGCCACACCAGTGCCCCACGCCGGGGAATACTGCCCCTGCAGCCAACGCTTACTTACATCATATAATCCAAGATAGCAACTAGCAAAGAGAGTGTCTTTTAGAAGTTGATAACGAAAACCGCGGTAGTAGCCTTTAAGACCTTCTATACGAAAAATATCTAGTGCACATGTCCAGGCATTTCGGGTCTCATTGTGTGTGACAAATTGTGTACGAATTTTTATAACATGCATGGGGCATCCAATGAGTGTACCTACTGCACCTGCAAAGGCACCTGCACGAAAAGGTGAGGCACCAATCCATCCATACGTTTGAGAGAGGCAGTGGATAACATAGGATGAGGAAGTTGTAATAGAGTTCCCATTATCATTATTCTCTTGTTGTTGTTGTTGTTCTTGCTGTTTTTGTTGTTGTTGTTCTTGTTGACGTCGGAAAAGATCCCAAATGGCAAATTGTAAACTACGTTTTGTTGCTGACATCAGTAACGGTGGAGTAACGCCGCGGTAAAGGCTCTTCACTCCCTCCACGCGAGCCATATTCCACATTGTACGTGGAAAGGATCGACCCGCACAGGGTCCTAATGCCTGCATCCGTGTTTTGGCAGTGTCTAGCGGGTGTCCTAACACAACGGATGTGATGCCCTGTGCAGCACCCGGGAGGAAGGCGAGAACCATCTCGCTATCCATGAAACCTCTCATTTATTCCTTCGTAAGTGTCAAATCATAACAAGAATGAAGAGAATGGGGAAAAAAAAAAATAAAGGAAAAGAAAAAATAAAATAAATACATTGGGTGAAAACATAATCAGGTATATACATGTATATATGAGTGAGTGTTTGAGTCTTTTTTTTTTTTTGCTTTTTTTTTCGTTTTTTTTTTTTTTGGTTTTTTACGTGCAAAAAGAAGAGGAAGAGGTTTGACGGCCAAAAGTTTGCTTCCGTACTCACCAATAATAATGAGTTACTCCAAGTGTAAGTATAGTCATTACCAAACACACCAATTTCACATCTTCCTCGGTCGTACAAAGAAACAAAAAACAAAAAAACAAAAAAAACAAACAACAACTATCGTGTTACTTTGTAAGGTTTCACTTCCCACTGATTGTGTTCTTCTTTACATCCAGGGCACAAGATAGGGAGGAGTACTCCATCCTTATCACGCACCATTGGTACAAGTTCACCGTATGGATCCATGCGGAGCAATTGTCGATCACACTTGCCACAGTAATAAGCCATACGAGTCCCACGCGGACGTGAGACTTCCGGTACAGTAGGCTTTGGTACTCCATCCTTATACGTCCATCGACCAATTTCCTCTAGAATAGGAGGAATTTCTACTTTTTCTGTTTGTACCCCACTAGCACTACTTGTGGGGGGAGGATGGAAGTCTTTCACAGGTCCATTCTCTTTCGCGGTTGTTCGAACATAATTATTTGATAACTTTGAACGGATATTGGTGTGATCACCGTGTTCGTCAAATGGCACTGCCTGTTCCCAACTTGTGTGTTCTAGTAAACAACGTGGGCAACTCATGGGAAGTACTTCACCAAATGGTGAAACGGAAAGCGGCAACGGGTTTCCCTCTTGATCCATTGCCAGTACATGATATCCACACATACCACAACGCCATGATATCTTCTTCTTACTTCGCCCGGTGCTAGTCTGCATCTTTTCCTCTGGAGCTCCACTTCGAAGTCCTGGGGAATTTTCCTCCTCAGTCAACTGACCTTCTCGCGGTTGATCTTGTTGTGGATGCCCATTCGCAGAATCTGATCCCCTTGCCATTGCTAGTGGTGAGCCATCCTTGTTTTCATTCTGGGTTGAATCATGCAGCGGTACACTGATGCCCTCTGAAGCATTCTTAAAAAAAGTACCGGAGTCTAGGGCACTGGTGCTTCCTTCTTCTTTATGCAAGGATATTTTTCCCATGGACATCTCTTTACACACCTCACGGGGAGTTTCCTCGTGAGAGACAATTACAGTGGGTATTTGAATTTCACACAAGGGAGCTTCAACCACACCTTTTCTTTTTTCTTTTTTCTTTCCTTTTGCCTAAGAACAAAAGTGAAAACGAAAAAAAAAAAAAAAAAAAAAAAAAAAAGAAATTAAAGGAAAAACAATAGCTGAAAAAACGACGCCAAAAGGGGAAAAAGTGGCGAGAGAAAGCAATAACATCTCTCTGCAATACCTTCTTTTGCACCTCAGTTCCACTGGGGAATTCAGGGGGTCACAAGTTTTCTCACATTCTCACCTCTTACCCCAAATAAAATAAGAAGTAAAAACAAACAAACAAACAAACAAAAGCAAAGAAGAAGCATGTAGAATTATTTTACATTTTCCAGGTTGATATATAAATATATATATATATATATATATGTATTAAATATAAATATATAAATATAAATATAAATATAAATATAAATATGTACATGTGTATTTATATGGATAGCAATTTGAAGAATTGTTTTTTTTTTTTTGCAAAAAAAAGAAAAAGAAAAAGAAAAAGCATTTAGGGGCGTGAGCGTTTCGACTCCTTCACGAGTGTCCGCCTGCGAGGTTCCTGTTGTCCTGCGGTCATTTCCGACAGTGATGGTATTTCAATAATACACACATCCTCTACTTTACCAGGTGCACTAATACCACCCGTGACGTACACACGCCGCTCTTCTCCTGCTTCTTTCGCCAGTGCATGATGAGAGCGGGCGGGAAGAAGTTCCACGTCTTCTTCGTGTGGTATTAGTTTAACCCATGAAATAGTTACAGTAGATTCTTTTTTCTCCTGAAGCCGCAAAATCCATGCATCTGAGAGTGTATTTCCATCAATGCCAATACCTCCATGAAATAATAACTCACTTGGACTAAGCACGCAAGCGGCATGTGCATATCTTGGAGCTGGACCCATACTACCCACATTTATACCAGATATAACCCATTGACCATTCTTTACATCATACACAGCCACATCATTACAGAAATCAAGACCTGGTTTGATGATTGTTTGCAATGCCTTTGCATCTACTTTCTTTCCCCTTGTAGAAGATCCTGTTGGAAATGGTGCCAATCGTCTACCTCCGTGCACGACCATATAGCGATTCAGCAACAAACCAGCCACATGTGAGGAACGGGGAGAAGGTTCTGCAATGCGTTTATCTCCTCCTCCTGCGGATGTTATTCTTCCTCCTCCTGCAGATGTTATTCTTCCAACTGTTCCTCGTTCTCCCCATTTACAGTTTGAAAGATCAAGTGTTTTGATAGCGGGTGAGTAACCAGTAGTAGTGTTTCCACCAAATAGATAAAGATTCTCCTGTAATACACTACCAGTAGAGCATGTAATTGGAAGTGGTGAAAAGGCTGCACCACCACGACCTTGCAATACCGCACCAGTATCCAAGTCAACTCCCATAACATGAGAAGTACGATTATCATGTTTCCAGCCACCAATAAAGAGCACTACTGGATGTTCACGCTCTGCTGAAGTATTCACCTCTCCAGCTGCATTCCGGGTATTGGATTCTTCACCTACTCCACCCTTACCACTCCAATCATCATTTTGTTCTGCTGTATTCTCAACACTGACTGGAGGATCAATAGCATCATCTGTACAAGTAGTAGTAGGAGCAACAGCAGTAGCAGCATTTGCATCAATATGAGGAAGAAGAGAAGGGACAAGTGGCGTCGAAGGATTAGGTGTACAAGTAGCAGAAAATGTTGTACGTACCCTTCCCCGCACTGGGCCCCAATGTACCACCGATGCTGCCAGTGTAGGCCACGAAATACCACCTGGTACATTTGCGGGATGGTGTTTAATAGAAAACTGCCGCGTATCAACCAAAGCCGCAGTATCACCACTATTGTTGTTACTGCTTTTGCCCTTGGTATTATTATTATTAGTATTACTAGTATCACTATCAATGTTCTTCTTGCTGCCGTTACCATTATTATTATTATTATCTTTATCACTATTATCATCTTTATTATCTTTATTATTATTATTATTATTATTATTATTATTATTATTATTGTGACTCGTGTTGAAAGCAGCACTGCCGCCAAGATCTACGCCCCACATGCGTGTTTCTCTGTCCCACCACTCTGCGAAGGGCAAAGGCTCCTGCGGCTCAACTGGGCGCGGGGACTTCAGTATGGGTGGAAGGCCCATCACATCACAACCACCCACAACATATAATAAGCCACTCTTTGGGTGAATGTACGATACATGGCCCATGCGTGTGCGCACAGGTGTGTTCGCAGAGCCAGCGCAATGCAGACGTATTTCCAAATTGGATGGTGGTGTGTTATCCTCCTCAATAACATCTTTCCCGCGTCCTTTTTTTGGTGGCATATTTGTACAATTTTTACTTATTTTCTCTTGTTTCCCCTTTTGTTATTGTTCTTATGCTGGCGGTGGTGGTTGCTGTTTTCTTTGTTTCTTCCTCCTCACTCTTTACTGTTTCTTTTTTTTTTCCTTCTTTCTGCTGAGGTGTGAAAGGACTTCACCCCGGGAGGAGATCTACAAAGAGAGAAAAGGACTGAGATGCTACAACCCTTGCGGTGAGAAAAAGAATAGAATGAATGAAAGCAAATTGTTTTCTGCAGGAATAAGATGAATAATAAAAAAATGTTCACAACAAGAGATAGACACAGACAGTTGTGAGAGATGAAAAAAAAAAAAAAAAAAAAACAGTGTGTAGTACGGGTCCAGAATTAACTGTGATAAGTAGGAAGATCAACAACAATAACAACAACATGAAAAAAAAAAAACAGAAACAAGAAAGAATTAAGCCCATATGAATATTGTGGGTGAGAGATATTCAAATTAATGCGAAACTCGGTTGCAAAGAGAAGATTTCTTTCAGAACTCTGGGTTAAACACCACAGTGAACCCCCAGCAGAAGTAGCAACTGAAAAAAAAAACAGCGTTCAAGTACCCTAAAGATATGCACAGCAAATTTTATTCAAATCAAAAGAAAACTATCAAAAGTTCTTGTATCAAGAGCCTGCGTCAAGCACAAAAAGTAACAACAGAAAGAACAAGATGGATACAATAGTAAAACAGAGAATATATAGACATATTTATATTTATATATATAGATAAATATGTGTATATATATGTATATATATTTAGGGATATCTGAACACCAAGAGGTCACACCTAGAATGAAAATCATTCTTTTCCTGATACAATAACAACACAAGAAGTCAAAAGTGATATATAACATGTGGAGAAACCCCAAAAACCTCTATTCACTGATCCTGTTCCTGTCCCTGTTACTTTTTTTTTTTTGTATCCTTCTTGTTCTTTTTAATAAATATTATTACTATTATTCCTGATTCGTCATTCCCTGTGTTTCTCTGTCCAACACCTCCATGCGTTCCACCAAATCATCAGAGAGAAACCGCGAGGCGTTGCGGGCGAGTCGATTCACCCATCCCGGCATCACCACCGGCAGCAACACCACATCTCCGTTCGGTAGCCGCTCCTCCTCCCGCTCACCGCAGTCATACACCTCCACAGAGTTTCCCTGTTCTTGTTGTTGTCCTTGTTGTTGTTCTGCCCGTACTTCGGGAGGGAGTAGTCGTTTGGCGAAGGCCTGTGCAAAGTTATTGCAATTGTTGCGGATCAGATGGTACGCACGGCCGGACCATTGATGTTCATTGGCCTTAAATTCCAATATGAGTTCCCGCACCTCCTCGCGTGAGAGTCGAGTCTCGCCGAGAATAAGTTGTTCGCGGAATATATGCGGCTCCGTCTGCCGCGGTGTAGTCTCAAACACACCACTTCCCAGTGGACATCGGCCGAATGCGACTTCGAGGCCGTACACCTCCACGCCGGTGTGGTGAACGCCAATGCCTGCGTGGTACAGCACTCCATTCATCTCCGTGATGTCGTACACATTGAGGAACACCGTGTTGGCGGGAAGCTCCTGTATGTCTCTGCTGCTCATCGTAGTAGTAGTAGAAGTAGTAGTAGTAGTAGCCATAGTGTTGTTGTTGTTGCTATTCCCGTCACTAGTACTTCCACCGGTTGCAGCAGCGACACCACTACTGCTATTGATACTGTTGCTCAAATTGCGGAATGGCGTAAGCAAATTCTGTAAAGCGGCAAAGGCTTCACTGGAACTGCGTGACGTGCCATCACTGTTGTTTTTGTTGGCTAAGTTTGTTACTACACCGTAGATATTCCGTAGAGACATGAGAGCTTTAAAATCACCCAGAGAGAAAGAGAGAGAGAGAGAGAGAAGGAAAAATGAAATACAGAGGAGGTATATAGTGAGACAAAGAGAAAAGATGCTCCGCATAAGAATACAAATGTTAGAGAGAATGTACCAACACAATCTGTCCTCTTTTCTTTTTCTTTTTTTTTTTTTACTGAAGAAGAACTCGCAGCGTGTGCAATAGAAAAATAAATAAACGGAGTCAACAACAACAACAAAAAGTGAAAAAAAAAAAGGACACAGCAACTCTTTATACGTTAAGGTTCACTCTACCATCTCGTAAATATCTTCCGTTGACGTTCGTCGTCGTTTTGCTGGCTTACAATAAGGATTCTTATTATTATGACTATTGCTATCACTGTCATCTGAGAGAACCACCACTTCATTCTGCAATGCGCCCTCCCCTTCATCACTGTCAACAACAATCACATCAGTTCCCGTATTCACTTCAGAGAGAGTCTTCTGACGGCTCTCCTGTTGTTTCTGAGCTATACAGGATAACTTCTTCTCCTTCACTTCTTCACGGCGATTATTCGGTGTCGCACTGTCAAATGTGTACTGCTGCTCAAACTGCCGTGCTTGATCCAATGCTGTGAAGTATAATGACTGCAATTCTGCGAGCGGCACATCACCGGCAGGCACAAGCGCCAACACTTCACCCTTCACAGTGGCTTCCCGTGAGATAATGTGCGTGGCGGTGCTGTTTCTGTTAATATCATGATTACTAACTCTGCTGTACATTAAGCTGCGTACTTCTGACCACTCCGTCTGTGGAAGACTCATCTCCCGCACCTTCTCATTTGCCGCACTGCAGTCACTGGCCACCAATACAAATAAAATATCTAACGCCGCAGAGCGAAGGGCACGTTCACATGGTATCAATACTTCTTCATTTTCTTCTTCCTTTTCCTTTTCCTCTTCTTGATATTGCCGGTACTGCTGGAGGTGCGTTTCCTCTGTTGTCGTCATATCCAGCGAGACGGCGGAGATGCGGAGGAGGTGTATAACGTAGCGAATGTGTATTGGTATACCGCAAACCCACACAAGAAGAAAAAGGTGTCGGCGCACATCAGGCACCAGCCATCCAGCCACTTTTAACGCAAAAGAAGTGTTATTGTCATTCTTGCTGTTCTTATCAATATTAGCGCCGCTGCTGGAACCAGCATGTGCTAATGTACACGGTTCATGTGATGCTTGCATGGGGCCTTTCCTTTTTTTTTTTTTTTTTCTTCTTCTTAACAGACTTCCTTCATGAATGTTTGTTTATTTTGACTTTCTTTTCTCGCTAGTATTACTCTTTCAGTGGCACAAAGAGATTTTTTTCTGCACCCACACACACACCACTGAGTTAAATATAGAGAAAAAGAGCGGAGAGGGAGAGAAAGAATTAAAGAAGGACGTACTATTTGGCAGTGCAGTGATTAAAAAAAAAAAAAAAACACTTTAACTTGGAATCAATAAGAAAAAAAAATTCCTTTTATCTTTGTCCACAGAGAAGATCAGAACAAACAAAACATGTCCAAGCCCAAATACGTAGAGACACGGTGAAAAAGCAATTGAAAGGCAGAGGAGAAAAAAAAAGACAGACAGAGAGACTTTATCAGCACGCATAAAAAAAACCGTAACAACAAAAGAAAAGCGTTCTACAGTACCAAATGGATATGTGAATGCATGCTATTGCTGTCCATTTCTTTATTTTTTCCCTCAATACCATTCAAAGCACACTCACCACAAATTATTTATCTCTTTGCCTTTGGGATCACCATGCCGTACAACTCTCTCTCCTTCTTTCTTTCAACTGTTCTTTTCTTTTTTTCTTTTGCAAAGACAAAAAGATTCTACCGGCACAAGTGATGGGAGGATATCAAGATATCTACACCACCACCACCACCACCACCACCATCACCCCTATATATATAAATTGCACCAGACAGCAATTATCAAAGCATGAGAACAGAAATGTATAAACTTCTGAATATTGTGTACATAAGCGAAAAGTAATAAAAAATCAAGAAAAAAAAAGAACGAATAGTTTCTTTACATATCTCCAACCATTCTTCATCCTCTCATGGACATTGTAGAGACCATGAAGAAATCACAATCATCATCGTTACCACCAAGATGAAATAATGTCTCATCAACAGACAACGATATACGGGCCAATGGGGTTTAAAAGCTGTTGATGTCTTGTGATGTTAGAAAAGCCCATTTCTCGTGAGTGACATCACTAGGCGTTTATGATGTTCTAGAGATCGTTCTTCTGCGTCATCTACTTGTGAACCTTTCATTGGAATTAACGCATCTGAAGTGAATGTTGGTCCAAAGAGTCCGCAGTGCACACCCCGCACGGTTGCTGCCACTGTAACGGTGTAATCTCGCCCATCCCCTGAGTCACACATCCCACATTTCTCAGTGATCGCATCCTTGTTTATAGTACTACTGTCTTTATTGTAAATAGTACTGCTATTGCTCTTATCTGCAGGTGTAGAAAGTGGCATGCTGATATCCACAGTATTTTCAATTCTGGGCCCAACATCACCGCGATAGACGTGTTCCATAGCGATGAGTTCCACCCGCTCACGCCCAACACTGCTATTCCACAACGCGTAGTCTCGCACATTGAAGATATCAACAGCCGTTACACCGCGATCAAAGTCAATATAGCGGAATGCCGGCCGCTGGGCTCCCCACGCGGACTGCGCCTTGCGCACTAATAATCCCCAATGTCCCTCACCACTCCCGTTGTGTACATTACGGCTGCTGAGGAGTAATGCCTCTGGGGCCGAACTGTGGCGCAACAACACGCGCACACCGAGACGCTGCAGCGTTAACTGTGGCAACAACATGTGAAGTGGAAGCGGCACAACATCATCCGCTGCGTGCAATAATGGAGGACTCACAGAGAGTTGAAGTTCTTCTTCTTCTTGCGGAGAGTTCTCCTCCTTCTTTTTCTCCTTATTCTTCTGTTTGTGATCATGTTGGCGGCGGTAGACATATAAGGTCTGTGTGAGAGGTTTTGGTGGATAGTGTATATCGTCTAGTGGGTCGCGGTGATGGGGGACGGGTTCGTAGCCGTACTTCCACAACTCAAAGTCGTCCTCGTCGTCTACAAGAATATAACACGTTCCATTTGGTGGACTGATCATCTTTGGATTACATGCGAGTTTGTATTTGAAGATGGGATCGTAGTCTTCACCGTAGGCCTCTTTGATCTGCGCCACGAGAGCACTGTAACTCTCGGCAGTGGACCACATCCCCTCGCCGGGGAGATGGCCGTTCAGCACTAAATACTTCAGCTCAGGCTCTCTCATTTCTGTGGTCAATGTCATTCCTCGTCTACTACACGATATGTACACTTTATATAAGTGTAAATAAAAAAAGAAAAAGAGAAAAAAGAAAAGAACATCATAAAAACAAGGGAAAAACAAAGAAACCCCTTTAAACCAGACACACACATACATATAGGTAAGCACTTCGTTGGTAACCAAGAAAGAATATTTCTTCCAATGTAACATCTTTTCATTCAGACTTCAATAATCTGTTTTCTCTTTTTTTCTTTCACTTGTATACATCAATTCCAAATTGCGGGAGACCGTCTCTCCGTGTGATTACGGACATTCTCTTCTTGATTTTAATGTTTTTTTTTTTTTTTTCGCGTCTCCGCGTATTTTTCTTCATGTGAAGAGACAACTGCCCTTATAAGCAAACATTGCTGGAAGGAATGCTAAGAAAAAGAACACACAAACATGATGGAAACAAGGACCACAGCAACAGCCCAGTCTTATACAGAGAGACACGAATATAGACATAGAGAAAGAGATAGATACATAGATAGATAAAAACATAAACAAATAAGTAAATTAAGAGAGAAAGAAAGAAAAAAAAAAAAAGGAAAGGGAGGTGAAACCAAAACTAAAGGGCCACAACAACATAAGAAAAAACAAAAACATAAAAAAAGGGTTTAAAGATAATACTCCTCTTCTTTAAAGAAAAAAGAGGATTCACATTATTTACTTCAAACATTGTTTATGCCCTCTGCAAATTCACCTCCCTTTAACACTTTCTTTTCCCCTTCTTTTCATTTCCATCATATTTGTACTAATTGGTTCAAGAATACTGCTATTACCGCCGTTAATACTGTTCCTTCTTTCTATTTCTTTCTTTTTTTCTTTTTTTCTCTTTCTTTCACTCATTCCCTCTCTCTCTCTCTCTCTATTCTTAACCATCTCGCTCTTTTTTCTCTTATCCCTCTCTTTTTCCGTTCTCTTCCTCTTGTTTGCCACCCCCAAAATCTTGTACTTTACATTCAGTATTCAGCCACAGAGAGCTCTCTCCTCCTCTTCCTTTTCATTCTTCTTTCTCTTCTCTTTCTTAATCATCATCATCATCATCTTGTTGTTGCTATTGCTACTTCTCAGTACTCCTGGGCGGCGGGTGAACTGCGCAGTGCCAACTCTGTGGCGGCCTCATCTTCCTCAACGGCCTGTCGCATGCGGCGCAGCACATTCTTCTTCTCCTGCACTTTACGCTCTTCGTCCTCAACGTAACGCATAGAGCGATCGACAAAGCGGCCGCGTTCCTCCACAGAACGTAAACCGCACTCCTGCAGTGGATGCACAAACGGCTCTGCAGCCCGTTCATACTTGGCACGTACACCTTCTTCAACACTTTGGAAGAGTTGCTCACCGGCATCCTGCGTGGCATTAAGGGCGTTGATCACACCAGAGACTCCCTTCATTTGCTCAATAAGGTCCTCAAGCTCCACACGGTAGTTGTTCATATTCGGGTCAAGACTTTCCATGGAGGAGTTGCGATTATGCTCCATAAGTCGTGCCTGGCGCTCAAGAGTGTCAAGGCGGTGTAACTTCTTCACAGTAAGATCACTGCAGCAGGAGACAAACTTGCTGTAGGCATCCATAAAATCACCAGCCTCAATATCATTAAGTTTCTCCATCGCCTCACGAAGACCCTTTCGTGGCATACGGGTGATCATATCATCAATATATGCCTGCAGGTTGGGTACCAACGATTCAAGACGGTCAAAGTATTCAAGACACTGCAACAATCGGCGTTTCTGTTGTTCCTCCATATCCACAAACTCATTATATGTTGTCACACGCAACTCTTCAGCTCGTTTCGCTCGTACATGCGCCTCAACAACTGATTTTTGTCTTTCCATCAAACTGCGTAGTTCCCGGGCCTTCTGAAGCAATTCATCAACCAAACTTTGCTTCTTTTTGACAATCCTTCGAAGCTCCGCATCTGACTCCTTCTCACTTGTACGGTATGCATCCAAACATTTTTGATGATTACCATCCTCTTCAATACGTTTCTTATCACAGTTACGAATATCATCACGAATGTCATTGCGACGTGATCGTAGAGCATCTGCGAAGTGCTCAACCGCCTTCTCCGCGTCCTGCTGCAAGGCATCCATTTGTGCAGCAAATCCCATTTCCTGGGCGACAATGTCATCACCGAGAATACGCTGCATGCGTTTGGCAGCGACTGCCACAAACTCATAACGTGCGGCGATGAGTTGACGATGGGCACGTTCCACTTCCACCACATCACCTCCAGCAACAGCGCGTTCGTGGGCACTGATGGCTTCATCCAACTTCTCTTGTGCCTTATCACGCTCCACATCGAGTTCAGAGAGTTCCTCGCGTAGTTCAGCCATAAGATCCACGTATTGTATTTCGTAGAGTGCACCGATAATGTCGGAAAGGTCACGGTTAATGTCTGGCGGCTGGTGTGGCTTCAGTGCGGTGAGGTTTTCCCGCATGAGCAGAAAGCGTCCGCGTGGGAGTTGTGTTGGTGCGTCCTGGAATGTACGCAATATACTCTGCACACCTGTGATGTCAATTGGCGGCTTTGCGATGATCTCCGCGATCTCATCTCGGGTGACGTGTTGATCGCAGTGCTCCATGACTCTCTCTTCTGTCCATCCACACGGGGCTTCGTGTCTGTAGCGTTCGTTCAGTTCACATTCGGCGTTCACGAGATCTGTGCCGCGCTCTGCGAGTGGCAGCAGTCTTCCTTCTGTGTACATCACGTAATTCTCTGCAGTGGCGATGGCGTTTTCAATAAGTTCAAACAATGCGGACATCGCGCGGTGGTTTTCCGCCTCTTGCGCTTCCCTTCGCGGGTATTGGGGCGGCACGAGAGCACAGTTATCACGGTAGAGAGTCATGGCTTGGTTAACTTCGCTTTTCTTCCTCTTGACTTTTTTTTTTTCTTCTTTTCTTTTCTTTTCTTTTCTTTTCTCTCTTTCTTTCTTGTTTATTCGCTTCCTTTTCTTTTTTTTTTATGTGATCTCTGTTTGGTGTTATTTTCTTTACAGACTCGCTTCTTCTGTTTGGTCAAACTCGTTTTTCTTTTTTCTCTTTTTTTATTTTTTGTCTCTCCTTTGTGGAGTGTGATTGATGTAACTCAACCGCACGTGAGAGTAGTGAATAAGTGAATGAGTGAAGAAGAGCAACAATGGTAATAATAGTAACAACGAAGAAAAAGAAAAAGAAATGTTAATGGATAAACAACAGCATAAAAAGATAAATAAATATAAGCTGAGGTGGCGCACACATAATTAAGAATATAAAACAAACGAAACAACAACAAAAAGGTAAAAAAAAAAAAAACACTCAAGCAAGAGAATGCATGCATCCATCCATTCCACATAATTACAAAATAAAAAAACATAAAAAAAAAAAATCACGTATTTGGAGTACTACTACTACTACTTCCACTTTTAGTCAATAATTCCACAATCAGTAGAAATAAGATAATAATAATAATAATAATAATAGTAATAAGACGCTCTTTATTTTTTATTGTTATACATACTACGTAATCAAATATATTAATAAATGCAAAGAATTACATTTTATTACCGTTGTTTTTTACTTTCACGACCCCGCAGGGGATTTGTCACTAATCGATCCTCAATAACTTGTTGCTGGTGGCAGAAATACCTCACTAAACCCACTATAATCCCTACAACGAGTGCAGAAGCAATAACAGCGACTGCAACGATAAGAGGATTCACTGGCTGACCATACTTATATTGTTCAGGTGGTGTAGGAATATCTTCAAAGGTAATCCACACACGAGCATGGCGATGCTTTAACGGAACTCCTGTACTTGCGAAACCAATCTCCATATACATTGTATTTCCAGTAACAAACTCATCACCAAGCAAACCCAAGTCCACATGAACATTACGGATGGTATTATTCCCTTTACCACCAAAAAATTCATTTAAAGCTGAAATTGTCGACAATTCTATTAATTCTCTTCCACTTTCCATCATCTCTGGATGCGAAAACGGGTACACAATGCGTTCAAAATATCCATCCTTTTGCATTGGGTGATTGAAATTCATTCTGAATGCATAAGGATTAGAATAATTATGACTGACAGCAAATGCAAAGAGATCTTCCGAGCTTCCTAGCTCATTGTACGTCCCAACAGCGCCTTCCTTCAACGTCACAAATACCTGATTCTCCGGCACTTTACCAAAAACAACAACCTTGTCACTTAGTGCAATAAAATTTGCCATTTCATTATTTTCTGCCCATCTGTAACTGATACTCACAGAAAGATTAAGTATTTCACGCCGACGAACTCGCAGACAGAAATCACTTTCACTTCTTTGCTCAAGCCCCAGAGGATTGTGTTCCATCTCATCACGACAAATATATTTATCACTCAGACGCGGTGTTACCATCAACAACCTCGGTGTACACATCCAGGATTCTTGTATTCCCTTTAATGTCCAAGTGGCACTGGGTGGACAAATACACACCTCCAGCGTATCCTCAGGAAAAGTGCATGAATTCTGTTCCCCGTTATTCAGTTGACTGTACTCTATAGCCGACAAATTTTTTCCATTACATCGAAATACAGTAGAAGCAGGGACTGCTGGATGACCATATGAACACTCCCTCCCTGATCGAACAGGCCTTTCTTTGGGAACGTTTAACCCGTTGAACGGCTCAATCTGTACATCGTTTGATTTTTCACCAGATTCTTGTACTGCATCTCTGAGTTTGCTACGCGGATATAAAGTATATGTTTCCTTCTTTTCTCTTTCTTCATCTATTGTGCGTACCTTCTGATGTGTAAAACCTTTTAGCACATCTATCCATACTTGTGAATTTCCTCCTTCAAAAAAAGGCTCTACAAGAGTATTAATAGTTTGAGCCCAATGAATAGTTTTAGTAATAGCATCATGATATTTCTCTATGCCTTCATCCAGTTCCTCCGTCTCACTGTTCACTGGAGAAAGAAGGCATAGTAGTATGATGGAAAGCACAGTCCAAACCCTTGTGATGTGTGTCATTTGAGAGTTTATACGTGTAATAGACTTTGGAATGACTAGTTCCTCTTTTGTCAATCTTGTGGAGAGCTACACTCCCCTTTTCCAAGTAAAAAAAAGGGGAAAAAAGAAAACATGTGCAAAAACATAAACAAGAAAAAAAAAATAATAATAAACATCCACAAGAGTTAGAATACTCAAAGTTCATTTAAATATAGAAAAGTGAAGAAAGAAAAAATCAAAAAAAAAATAAAACAAACATACAGTGCAGCCAAGGACTGCAGCGTTTTTTTTTTTTTACCTGTCTGTCTCTCTTTCTCTGACTCTTTCTCACCTTCTCTCTACATATGTATATGCAACTCATTCGCATTCCGCCGTACGCACGTGTGGAAACCCACCCCCACCACCCCTTTTTACCTGTCCCTCTCCAATACCACACTACCATCTCCACTAATGATGAGAGAAACACGGAGAGGGACAGTGTACATCAGGAAAATTGACAAGACGAAAAAAAGAGATATACGAATCCATATATATATATATATCGTCTTTGAAGGAGTGAAAAATAAAAAATAAAAAAAGAGATGAGCGTGACGATCCATACTTGAAAGGGTTATCCTTTCCCTCCATGTCTTCCCCTAATTATACAATTCCCTCTTCTTTACTTCGCCTCTTTCCCCTCTTCTGCTAATCGCTGCGCCTCCGCCAAACCTTCACTAAGCACCGCTGCGCGTGCGGCGAGTGCCTCTTCCTTGTGGTTCTCTTCCTGCTGCCACGCCCTTCTCGCTGCGAGCAGCAACTGCACGTCGGAGCGGAGCTGCACGGCCGTCACGCCGGCGATCGTCATTCCAAGCAGCGGCACCGGCGTGAAGAGACGCGAGAGCACGCGGTTGGACGTCATGCCGCTCACGAGCGACTGCACGGGATCGGCGTAGCGGTACCCACGCAGTGTGAGCCAACCGCCGACCCCCAACCAACCGCACTGGAGCGCGACGGTCCACGCGGCGTCCGTGCGGGCGGTGTTGTACACCAACTGCTGCTCCTCGTGCACGGCGAAGCGGCGCTGGGCCTCTTCCATGCGGCGCACGTACGCCGGCGCGATGGCGAGGCGCTGCGCCATTGCGGGATTGGCGATAAATGGCGAGTCGGGCGGCGAGTGCACATCCCAGTCAATGGCGCTTGCCACAGATGGCTTGTCACCCATTTGGCTTTCCGTCAGTGGATAGCGTGTGTCTAAATTGTGTTTGGATTTAGTTTTCCTTCTCTCTCTTTTTTTTTCCTTCTCTCCAGTGAGTTGCACCTGTATGTGTGTGTGTGTGTGAGAGAGAGAGAGAGAGGGGGGGAAAGAAAGAAAAAAAAAGAGGGTTTCCCAGGTATAGTGTCATATGTCTCTTCTTCTTCCTCTTCTTCTCATATAATAAATATATGTATATAAATATATAAATATATTTTATTTTTATATATTTACATTTATACATATATATTTATACGAGGATTCAGAGAAAAAAAAAAGGGATTGCATATACGTATCTACACACGTGGTCATTTAAAAGAATTAGCTCATAACTACAAAGAGTCAATGCACAGTTGTATTTCGATTCAACAACCTTTGGTTTTATCTCGCTTTCGTTTCTTTTTCTTTTCTTTTCTTCTTACAACATCAGTAAAACCTTGTATAGTAGACACACACAGAGACACATATCAATGGAAAAAATCTAATAAGGCGAAAGTTGATAGGTAGCCATGAGGAAAAAACATGTTTCTTCAAGAGAAAAAAAAAAGAAATCTCCCCATAGAACACAAGCCCACACATACAACGAATATATATATATATATATATATATTATCCATATAATAAGAAAAACTTCCATTCCTCAACACCTTCTTCCTCTTCTAGTAGAGAACCACCTCCTCACACACACACAGACACACACACATGTATCTCTCTTCTCTGCAATCCACAGATTGGAGATACAATAGCGAGGAGTGCCCGTAGGAGGAGGAGAAGAAGAAAAAAGAGGAGCAACGAAAGTCAAGACGCAAGAGCAGACGTACGTTGTCACAACAAGAGTCAAGTCCAATTTATTTATTTCTAATGAAACAACTTCACCTCAAGTAGAAATAAGAAAAAATGAAAGAGTTACTTTGTAGTTATCCCCTTAGAATTTGTGACATTCTTTTTTAAAAAAATTGTCACCGCCTTCTAGTTTTGTACATTATAAAAGAAGTTACTAGCTTTTTTCCAACGTACAAATAAGGGAAAAAAAACAGAGTATAAAAAAAAAAAAAAAAAAAAAAAAAGAGTAAAAAAAAGCTAAGAAAAAAAAAGATTTATCAACCTCATTTCTTTTTTAAGGAAGAACGGTACTGCTGTCGACTGGTTTTTTCTGGTTGCATCGCTCGATTCATACAAGCATAGAGGGACCCCGCATTCAAACGCTGATCCATATGGCTCACAAAACGGGAGAGTTTCCATACATGATCATTATTTAAATCCCCCTTCTTTGGTTTATTATCTATTTCATATGATGGCACAACCCCAAGTGTACTGACAACATGTGTGTTATTCAATACAAGGAGTTGTGGAGGTTTTAACCGAGCGGGATTCTTTAAATATGGCTTGAGACGTTCATAAAGTGCAGAGCGACGCGTTTTACTGATATCTGTATCATTCCAACGCAGCAACTGTCCATTTTTATCTGACGTGATGTAACTCTCTGAAAGGTCAAACTCCACTACATCGATTGGTACAGGTAAGGATCCATATTTTTCACACTCTGCAAATAATCGAAATGCCTTGAGGGTATTGGTCGATGCTCCGCAGGAACTATCATGTATTAAAAGAAGAGAAAGTCCTTTCGAAGTTTCTGTGTGTTTCTCTTTTTGTACATGAACAAGGAGTGGTACCGTCTCAAGTGGTGGGAGCCACAGAAACCACGGAGCAAACCGATCGGAGGTTCCATAAAGAGAACTGCGAAAAGTCATATAAGGTATTGGTAAAGTAACTTTATGCATATCATTTCGCAGTTCTGCGGTGGCATCACGCAACTCTTGAAGTATAGGATGTGCAATAGAAAGCATATCCCCATTTCCTTCTTGAATATCTGTTTCTTTGAAGAAATAATTTATCCAGTTACTCTTCGTAGCATCAAGCTCTTGTGCGGTAATATCTATCGCCCGCACCGCACCATTAGCATCAAATGTGTATACTTCGCAGTATTTTGCACTTTCTTCTTTAGAATACCGCCATACAGAGAAGCGTAACTCCTCTATTAGGGCGGGTGCCTCATCAACAGCAGCTGTTACATATTTAATACGCGAGTCCTCCATACTTGCGTGCGCTGCAGTAAATGCGGCCTTTTCACAATTATTTTCAGCACCTTCACTCTCTCTCCGAAGCACAATTAGAACCAAAAGTCGTTTATCATCTTCTTTCTTTGGCATTCTTAAAGATAAACGTTGTGCCCGCTTATGTACGTCGCCGTAGGACTGACCAAAGTGTTTTTCATACACTTTTTGCAAATCCCAACCCGTCACACGAATGAGAGATGGTGAGATAGAACCCCCATCCCTCACAAAATCAACAATTCGCATACCAAAGGAGTTACTCCACATTGAATGATCCGTTTTCTTGCTTGGGGCAGGAAAGTGGAGAACCTGAGCAACAAAGTCTGAAAGAGATCTACTCCTTTCTCCATTTGTTAACAATGACATTCTATCTAGAACTACAACTCGCACGGTGTCTTGGATTGGCAGCAAGTCGAGTCGCTCAATAAAATCCGCTGGCAAACCGTTTCTTCTATTTGTTCCCATAAAACTCAGAGAATCCGGTTTTAGTTGTTCTTTACGAATAACAACTGGTGCATTCCAGTCCACTGGTCCCTTCGTTTCAAATAACTCTTCTTGCACAAAAAATGTTGGACGCACAGCTCCCAACATCTGTCGCAATTCAGTGGTTTCATTAAAGAGTATGTCTCGTAATGGAGAAGAGAAACGACCCGCATTATAATCTGCCCCTTTACAGATAATAAGTGCAAGTTGATCAAAACGCCCAAGTACGGTGTGCAGATCATCAAAAGACGTTAGTTGAAAATTGGAATTACTGTTTGCAATAACAAAATCACTCACATGCTTCAGAGAAGCATGACCTTTATAGGGCTGAATTTTCCGCATACCTTTTCTATAAAAGAATAAGGAGGGTGATTGAAATGTGTCTTGGATTGTATTACTTCCAAAAAGAGAACCACCGTCAAAGTCTACTGGTCGAATAGCGGCAATGATATGTGCTGGGGGTGCAGAATCTGTCGGTTTGGGCCATAGGAAGAGGTAATGATCTGAAGATGCTTGAAGAGGTGTACTTTCATCAATCTTGAAAATATCTTTAAACGCCTCGCGACGGAGAGAAGCAACACGTGATGGAGAATCACTCATTTTAACCACACGATTCAAAACTGTATCGGGAATATCCTCCATTGGGCAATTTTCAAACATTTGTAGTTCAAGAGCCATTGTTTGTAAAATATCGAGATACTTATCTGCCTTGTAGTCCCAATCATTAAAGATCAACAAAAGTATTTCATCTATAGACCCAACACGATCCACTTCAGATAATCCTTTATTGTCCATATCAATAATTCCATCATAAGAACGCAGTCTTGCAGTGTTACGTTTAGCCGTTTGGTTGTAGTACTCCAGCAGCTGCGGTGCATTCATGCGACCATCCGAGCGGATTACTTTATCCGCATCGTAAAACCGTGTGAGGAACCCGCTGAGAGTCCTCGCATTCTTTCCATCAATTGAAGTAAAAGTTTGACTCAATACGGCACGTAGGCGACGACTATCGGAGTTACGGAGAAGTTCATTTTGCAGAGCCAGAATGTCACGACCCTTTAATTCCTCTGCAGAGCCACTTTCTCCGTGGGGTTTGGGAGTAGTGTCCTCTGTATGTTTTTCTTTTTTGTGATCAGAAAAATCATGGGCAATATCTTTTTCTCTTTGACGAGGCAGCAGTTTTTCCACTGTGTCGTTGTTAAGGCCACGACTTTGTGATAACAGCATTAAGAATGCTGTACTGTAAAGCAATAGAATAATTAGCAGCAACTTGGCAAGTTTCGACCTTCGTCCTCGTAGAAACATACTTTGCGATTTACTAAAGTATATTGTATTTTACAAATAATAATAATAATAATAATAATAATAATAATAATAATAATAATTTTTCACGTCCTATCAATTCTTTATTTCTTACTATGTATTCTTCTTTGGAATACAAAGAACTCTATAATTGTTTTTTTTTCCTCTGAGTCCTAGTCGAGTAAAAAAATCACTTTAAAAGAAACCCTACTCACGTTTACACTATCAATTTCTCTCTCTCTCTCTCTCTCTCCCACAGACTACAAAAGAAGAAAGAAAACTGACATCGCAGAGCCAAAAAGAAAAATCACAAACATAATAAGGCAGAAATTCAGAAGAGAGACAAGCGATAAAAACAAGAGAAATATATACACACACACACACAAACAAACACCTAAGTCTATCTTTTTCTCTAGTGAATATAGGCATACACACAAGAAGGAGAAATGCATCTATGTATTTTTTTTTTTTTTTGATAAGAATAAATGGTTACACACATCCCTATTCATGAGGATTGTCGACTCACTTGACTCTCTACATCCTGGTCCGCAGTTGTGAAGAGCCATCCATCCCCACTGGCACGACCACGCTTTCGTGTTTGGCCTAATGAAACACGCGGTAGTGCGGCTGCTGCAATTGGTGTGGTGTAGTTCGCGTGTAGTTTGCTGCCAATGTTTGCTGCTGTGATAACACGGGCTGGTGTCAACTCCTCTACGAGTGAAAGTGCCGGTGATGATGTCTCGTGGGAGCCGAGTTCCTGCTGGACGGTGAGCATGACGCCCTGCAGCGCCGAGTTCTGTTCACGCAGCAACTCCAACTCTTCCATCACCTCGCGGTAGGCACGGAGTAATTCGCAAGACATCTGACTACACATATCCGTCCGTGTTTGTGCTTCCTCTGCTGTCCACTGCAAGCGGGCCATTTTCTCCGCATGTTGCATCTCGTCAAGTGCAGCGTGGCGCTGACAAGTGATCTCGTGCAACATCGCCTCGTTCTCCGCGATGAGTTCCCGCACGAACGGGTCGCGCAGCACATCTAAGGAGGTGGACACACTCGCCCCTTCCAAACTCATAGCATGCGGGACAGCACCGTATCTAATCTAGCTCTTGGCTTTACCATTATACATATATATATATATACATAAAGGGAGGGAGGGAGAGAGAGAGAGAGAAAGATAAAGATAGAGCAAAAAAGAAAACAGAATTAGATGAAAGTGTGAGTTTCACCTGAAACATTTTATATATACAGAACATGGGTAATAGGGGTATTCTCATATTGTGCATTCCATGCATTGAAGAGAAAAAAAAAAAAAGCATTATATGTACACACGACTATTACCTTCCTTCCCTTTTTCTTTCTCTCCTCTATAGACACAAACACAGGGTGAGAAAGAGAAAGAGAAAGAGAAGAGAAAGATGCATCCCATGAATGTACTTCTTTAGGGTTAGGGTGTAGTGCTAACAAACACACTAAAAACGTCCTCCACACTCTTAGCTCGGCGGAACACACGTTCACGTCCTACCTTCATGTACACAGTACCATTGTCAAGGTATACAAACACAGAAGGACCAGAAGTACCTTCATGAATGCGGAACACTTTATGCCCATGTGTTGAACGAGCTGTTGTCTCTTCATAAAGCAGTTGTCTATCCTCTGTAACAGCTGACAGAATGGCGGTTGTAACCTTCCCGTTTGACTGCTGAAGCATAGAATAGTATTTCTTCTGTTGTACCGTTGCATTTCCTCGTCCACTCACAACTCCAAGTTCAGCATGCGCAAGCGACTCCACTACAATGAGGGCACGGTAGCTAGCGGTGCACCACAACGGCAAAAGAACCTTTGCTCCCGCAACAGTACAAGTAGTAGAACTATCATTTTTTTTCTCCCATTGTATCCAAGACCGTGCTAAACGGCAGAGCGGCTCGGCAACACCTTCACGCACATCTTCTGTCACACCTGCACGGGGTAATGATGAAGCAAATGCCGTCTCAACAGGAATAAGAAAAGCATCAAAGAGTTGTTTTGTAAAGCCTATTACACGTTGCAACCCCCATGAAGGCATTGATTGTTGACCTAATGCCACATACACTCCTATAAGCACAACATGCTGCACGAGTTGTTTGGATGCACGACGGAAGTCTAGAAAGTTCTCATTGAGATACATGGGAAGCAATTTGGTTGCAGCACGTTCCACTGGTTTAAGAATATTAGTGTCAGTGAGGGTCGGAGAGACATGCAAGACTATGTATGGAATCAGTGAAGGAAACAAAAGTAATGCAGAAATTTCTGATGGTACTACCGATTCCAGTTCAGTTTTGGGCAAGTTGCATATAACTCGAACAATCTGTGCGTCCATGGACTCTACATCTTCCTCTGGTAGTCCCGCCCTGGCTCTGCAGAGTTGATCGAGCAACTCGTCTGTGTGTGGCTCGTGCAGTGTGGGCAGTTCGCCGGATGTGGTCATTTCCTGCAGCATCGCGTTGTGTGTAGCCGCTGCGGTCGCTATTGTGTGCGCCAAGTCGGCGAAGAGACCTGCGAGCAACAACGACTGCGCGAGTGGGGCGGCGTCGGCCCAGACAGACCCCGCCGGTGTGTTGTCGGCACTGCGCCACTCGTGCTGGACGTGTGCGAGGCCGTCGACCACGCGGCGGAGAAGCGGGCAGGCGCGGCGGTGGCGGCGGCGTTTTTGCATCGCGGCGGTCGGGCGTTGCGACTCGTCCCGCAGCCGCCGGGCGACGGCGTTCGTGGCGTCGAGAAACGCGTCGGCGTCTGCGAGGCGGCGGAGTCCCCGCAGGGCGGCCTCCAGCGACGGGGAGGGCGGCAGTACACCATAGGAGTGAGAGGCGGCGTAGGAGTACGGTGTGTGTGTGTGTGCGTGTGCAGATGTAGATGTGGATATGTATGTTTGTGAGTGGGATGTGGATGGGGATGGGGTGTGGGGCGTGCGTTCGTCGAGCAGCAATTGTGATCGCTGCAGCACCCGCGCCGCGTCGCCGAAGAGTGCGTCAACCTCGCGACGGCTAAACATCAGGCTAATATATATATATATATATATATATAAATGAAGAGTAAGAGAAAGGGAAGAAGTATGAAAGGTGGGATGAGGGGGAAAAAAGGAGTACATCGTACTGTTGGTAGGTTTCTATTAACCGCACATTGTTAGCATAACAAAATGAACAGCATCAAATCAGGAACAAAAATCGCAACTAAATCATACAAAGATATACAGGAGAAAAAGCAGAAAAAAAAAAATCAAAAGGTGAAAAAGAAAAAAATTGTGCCAAACAGTGAGGACCTTTATCAATCGAAGGGATAGTGTTCTATTATACTATTGGATGTTTCTTCGCCTTGTTTTGGCACTACTACAATATATCAAATAAAAGTGCGCCTAACTCCCTTTACAGTATCTTCTCTTTATTTTACTGTAACTGCTGCCAATAATAATAATAATAATAATAATAATAATAATAATAATAATAATAATACCAAGACCATCGGATAAAATATTCTCATTAGCAAGTTGTAACTTTTTTTTTTCTTTTTGTAAACAACAGCAACAGCACCAGCAATTTCAAACCAAAGAAACTCAAGAACAACAGCAAGAGACTTTGCTTTCCCCCCTCGCTCAGCATAGAGACTAGTATAAATACCAGTATTTTTGCCTCTGGTGCACTGTCTATTCATTGAGGTTTAAAGAACAGCTTACAATCTCTGCATACGACGACGAAAGAAAAGTACTGTTTCTCATCATAAATACATATGGAGAGAGCACACAAGAAGATATAGTAGCAGAAAAACATGTGTTGACTAATTAAAAGAAAAGGTATTATATATATATATAAACCCCTAACGGCAAATTCATTACAAAACATCCATCTGTTGTTGTGGGAAAAATGACAAAAAGATTGACTCATAACCGAGTCAAGTCAGTACCAGTAAGTTTCATAGCAATTTAAAAACACATTCTGCATATTATCTGTTCTCCAAGATATAAAATTTTACTTGGATCTGGTTTAGTGGAACCAAAAGAAGTAATAGGATACAAACAATATATAACAAAGAAATTTTGCTACGTACGAACAGTACAACCCCCAATTACAAAGATAGTAAAAGATCAAAATACCAACAATTTTCTCTTTGCTTTTGTTTTCAACATCTCCTATCCCATTTTTTTTTTTAATTTTCTTTTTCCTTAATAAAGAAATATACAGAGTAAATTTTCCTTGTTTATTTCAGTTAAAGCACACATAAATGGCAAGGAGAAATGCAGTAATAAAAATACCACCACCAACCATTGAACCTCCTGTTCCCTCGTCACACATAAAAAAATAGTCTGAGAGTTTCGCACACAATAAACCTGAAATCAGGAGTAAAATAGGGTTCATAAGAACAAGCGTAAAAGTAGTCATCATGCCGAGTACCATAAGTGCGTGCTCTCTCATAATACACTGTGAGATCAACATCACACCCCACAAGATTGAGGGGGCGATATAACAAAATGAAGCGTAATTCAAGAAATGATCGTGATTTTCTTTAAAGGACTCCCGTGCTGCAATATTATTTGTCATTAACGGAACATAATGTTGCCTCCAGGGACGTCCGGCCTTATACCAAATATCTGTAGAGTCTTGTGGTTCCTCCGTTGCCACGCGTGCATAATCTACACTACACTGGTAACTAAATCTATCCGTCTTCTGTGGTCGGTGAGCAGCATTGGTGTAAATAGAATCTGGATACAAAAGATCACGTTCACTCTTTATACGTTTATATATTAACTCTGTAACGGCTACAACTTGAGGACGGCCAAGAAAGGCACACCACGCACCAGCACTGTTACCAACAGGATCAAAACCTAGTGCAGTACGTGTTCCAATGTCTTTTGTTTCTAATGCACTTGTATCATTAAAGATAGCTGACACGTACATGCTATCAAAGAAAAGAAATACATAGCACATAGTCTTATTCGATTCACCCGGTTTTGAAATACAATATGGAATAAATACTTTCTCAGTAGGATCCATCGTAAGAGGTCGCCAACGCAAATCATTAAGCATAGCTGGTAGATATGCAAAGGATGGTTCAGTGCGTAGATCAATCACACTGCATTCTGCGTCCATGGTGAGATCTATCTCTGTACCATCAAGAATATGTCCATTACTTCGCACACGAGACATAGCGAGCGCTGACATTGTGCCGAATATACAACCAGTTAGTAATAAAAATAATCCCCAAGAGAGCAGACGCATCATATTTTGTTTCTCCGATGGTGATGCTGCACCGCCTAATGGAACAATCACAACGGTGACTTCTAGTATTACCATTACCAGCATAAGTGTAAACGTTACACCACCCACTAACTCATCAGTAGTTAATACAGTTGAAAGGAAGCCTAAAAAATATGAAATAACAAAATTAGATGCAGAAGCAACGGCACTAAGAACGGCAATAGCAATACACCACCGTACGTGTCGTGCTGTTCCCATAAATTCCTCACGTCGCTGTGCTGCTTGAACTTTTCTACGTTCCCTAAAGTATTCTGCCTGTGTAACAATTTTTGGTTTTACAACAACTTTACGGATGTAATTTGGTAAATCTTTGATACGCCGTCCCCAGTCGAGACGACGAAAATATGTCCAGTGTGGTGCGTAGTTTGTATAAAAACGCCAAAAACGACAGGTATGGCTCACCTGTAAGATTTCACGCATATCCACAGCAATATACAGCAGAATAATACACAGTACTTCTGCACTAAAAGGACCAGTCTGTTCTGGCACTACCACAGATCTTCCTGATCTGTGTGTATGATATGAAATACAAGAACGAAAACAAACAACATCTGCAGGTGTACCACTAAAGGTAAAACCAGTTGTGTTGTCATTACGATGATGTACTGATAAACCAGTAATCTGTCGTGATGAACTAGTGAAACCTGTAGTATCAGTTGTTGTTAAATCATCTGTTAGACTAAGCCAATCACGATCATTATGTGCCCCTTGTTGAGGTGACCCAGATGACACGTGAGGTGTTATCATATGCACACGCCGTGTACGTTCCACTGCATTTGCATCAGTTGGAAAACTTGTGAGAGTATCATCATACGCTACACCAATGCTGTCCAGTGAGTTTCTATCAGCGGATCGTGTCCAATAATCCATACCCAAAGCAGTGGAAACTACCGCTCTAAGAGCCTGCTTCTATGGTTAGAATACCTTTTTTTTTTCTTTTTCTTTGTTTTGTTTAGTCGCTTGCCTATTATCTGTTTTATTTTTTCTTCCTTTTTTTTGTTTTTGTGCGCCTCACGATAGAAAATTACAAAGGAGTGAAAAAAAAAGCAAAAAAAAGTATGCAGGTCTACACAGATAAGTGAGTGGTTTTTTTTTTTTTTTCTTTAAAATGCTTGTAGGCATACAATGTATACATACACATTACACCCGTAATAATATGCGTCCTTCCCTTCTCTTTCGCTCGGTAAAGTTTAAAGGTCAGCAAGAGATAATTAACAACAGTAAAATGTCATGAAAGAAGAAAATAAAGAGAATATAATTCACACTTCTTCTTCTTCTTGACACTACTCAAACATTCTGTGGAGGAAACACCGTAGATCCAGCGAAACGTTCCCGCTCCAGTCGCTCCCGCTGTTCCCGCAGGTGTTGCAGGCCCTCCGGTACGCCAATAACAAACTCACCTGGTCTTCCCTTCCGGCGCACATCTGTCAATTGTGCAATGCGGCGGCGCAGTCCTTTACTCCAAAGTCGTGATGCGATGTACGACTTCTCATCTTTGCTGCGAGGAAAACCGAAACGCCAAACCCACGCTGCCTCTAATTGTGCTTCTTCTTCCATTTCCATTTCTTTTTCACTCTTTTTCACCTTCTTCTCTGTGAGGTGTCCCTCGCTAAATGTATGTGAAAACTTCTGAAGACCGTGACCAAACGGGGCCTCCTCAACGCGATCAAGATTGTTGTCACTATCAGTATCTTCATCTGTAGTATTATCCCATTCCCGCATTTGGCGGGACTCAATACGACGCATTGTTGTCTCACCATCCTCCTCTCCAACACCCACACCACTTGCTGCTGTGTGGGAAAATATACAACCACGTTGTTTGTAATCACCATAGTTAAGTGTCAACTCCTCTGATCCCTTAATAGAGCGTGATGCGACTATAACGACACCTGTACCAGGTTGGTACTGATAACTCACATTGGCATCACGCGCAGAGTGATTCAACATATCAAGAAATGGTACCAACGCTACTTGTGGTCGTTGTCGACGCTGCGGCTGCAGATTTACCGCACGGGATCGCACCATAAAATGTGACCATCGCAATTGCTCCATAATACGTACTGCCACTTCGCTTTCCTCGTCTTTGCAACATCCCGGACTAACACATGTACGGAGTGATAAAAGTACGTTACTCTGGAGAGATTCCTCAAAATGCAGCAATTGTTGTGCTGCCAGCGATACAACGTGACGACGTGGTGCGTTGGCCGCCTCGTGTTGACGTTGTGTTAATGGGTGACGCACACCGCGGTGAAACGCCGTCATTAGTGCTTGTGATGCAACCACTTCCGTCTGTGGCTTCCCAACATTCTCGATGCCGTACTGCTCAGCGGCTTGTAGCATCAGTTCTGTAGAGACAGTTGGGTCATTCGCACCCGTCTCTGGTAGTGCTGCTGTGTGTTCGCCAATGCGAAGACGGCGTTGCAGCGGTTCAAATGGCACTGTTCCCACTTGTTCTTGCAGCAACAACATTCCAGTTGGTGGCACACGCGGTGGGAGACATGCAGCCCATTCTACCAATGGATGTGAGATTCCACCATACTTGAGTGTATACACAGCTAGCGTTATCAATAGCGGATCCCGTGTTGAAAGAAGAGATGGGTCACCAGGAATACTAGACAAACATCGTTGTAACTCGGTGTAACTAGCTAGAGAACATTGCGCTGAAGTACGTTGTAGCAACTGAGCAGCGTGTTCACCGTGCAGGATGTGAGATTCAGGCACAACACAAAGTCGTTCACCTCTGCAGATGTCTCGTTTTGCCACTACACACCGTACTTGCGTTCTCACTCCATTGCCTTTACTTGCAGGATGTCGACGCAGCTCCTGCGAGACTGCATCACTGCGTACTCCTAATCCACTTACCCACGCACCCAATGAGAGCACGAGTCGGCATGAATGCATGACGCCACTTCTTCTTTTTCTTCTCAGGATACCGTTACTGCTACTCCTACTGCTACTGTTACAGTAGGAGAAACAAGTGACAAAGAATAGACTATCGTCACAGAGGGGGGGAAAAAAAAAACAATCACTTAGTAGTATGACATATGAATAATAGAAGAAAAAAAAAAAAAAACAGGAAGAGATAATGCGTTAAAAGCAGGGTAAATTTCGGGGCTGACGTTCTCTCTCTCTCCTTCTGTCCTCCGACCACCTTCATGTGAGGAATCCTTGTAACCATGTTCAATCTCCTTTACGAGAAAAAGAATTAATATATATTTTTTTGATTTTGCATATACCACATTACAAGAGCTTTTTTCCCGGTTTAGTGCACAATAATTAAAAAAAAAAAAACACGCATACAAAAGCAAAGATCCTAATGGCGAACATATATACTTAACCTGTTTAAGACCTTGATACCAGTAGAATGACGCTCATGTCGGGAGAACATCATGCAGGGAGTCAAGTTGTACGTTCACTGCTCCTGTAGGTGTTTTCTTTCCTCTTTTTCTCTCACCCTATCACTAGCTTGTCCCTCCAACTTGTTTTTTTTTCTCTTTTTCCTTTGCCTTTCCTCCTCCTTTTTCCAGTTTTGTTTTGTTTTGTTTCTTGTGCAAAACCAAACAATCAAAAAAAGGAAAAAAGAAAAAAAGAAAAAAAGAAGAAAAACAACAACTCCCTGAGCTCTCTTTAGACGTAATCCACGGTCAGATCGTGATCACCCATGTCAGTCTGTCGCTGGACTTCCTTCTTCACGCGTCCTTCCTCCCGTGCCCGTTCGCGAGCCCGCTTGAGCTGCAGGTTGAACTCGCGCTCCTCCTGCTGTTTGCCGAGGAGTTCCTCGACGCTGAGGCCCTGACGGCGTGCCTCCTCCTCGAGGGCCGCCTGCTGCTCCTCCACCGCCCGCGTCTTGATGCCCACCGACACGCTCTTTTTCAACGCAACGATCTCCTTCTCAACGTCCTTCAGGCGGGCGCCCACCCGCATGCCGGCCTCCTCCCACAATCCAGCCGGCACCTCGGCCTTCTCCTTCAGCAGCGTGGACAACTCACGCAACGCCTTCAGTCGCTCAGCGCTCATCCTTCGGGTACAAAGCAATCAAACACGACTAGAAATATGCAATAATATATATATATATATATATATATATATATATATATCACGAAAATTGGAGGGGCAGGAGGGAAGATGCAATGCGTACACAGAAAAGGAAAAGAAAAAAAGAATAGAAAAAAGGAACATAAGAGGCACAAAGACAGAAAAATAAAAAGAGAAAGGAAATGTAGAGCTAGTCGTACAGAGAAAAAACAGAGAAAAAAAAAAAGAACAAAGAAGAGAGAATTTACAAAAATTGATGTTCAGACTCATACAATAAAACAAGGCATATATCTTACCACAGAAACACTGATAACAAAAAAAAAAAAGAATACACAGCGTGTCATGCAGCTTTGGTAGCATCACTTTTTCCCACTGCTTCCTTGCTCTGGCGTTCCCGCAAGAAAACATCAATGGGAGTGATGCCAATCTCCTCCAGTAGCTCTTCAAATGGTCTGTTGAGGTATGATTCCCAGTGCACGTTAAGAAGGCATGGAATGTGTCGCCCATTATGACGCTGATCAGGAGCATTAAGCTCCGCCCATTCATAATAGAGTGACATATTTCGCATCTGTTGTGTGCTAAGAGACGGCATACCACCAAGAATTGAGAGGATCCCCAGCGGGAGACGTGTATGGCGCCACTCCAGAAGCTTTACTGCAAGTTCCTCCTCTACCGTACGACCACAACCGGTACACGCATGCAAAAAGTCGTGCGTCTCACGGTAACGCCGCATCACGTACGCAAGTGTTGGGTCCGCTACACGTGTAACAGGTGTGCGACCGCTTGGTAGAAAGTGATTATAATTCATATAAAGTGCGTAGCGATGCCCAAACGTACCTGGGGCCTGTTTATTAGCAAACGCGAGTGTCTCATCTGTAACACATGGCTGATTCTTTAGGATCATTCGGCCACTGCGCTCTGCCATCATGGACTGCTTCATATGCTCCAGTGCCACAGGTGCAGTTATCTCACCTACAGCAGCAACAGCATCACCATTTGTAGGGTCCCAAATAGCGCTTGCACTAGCGGTAAGAAAGGATGGCAGTGATCTTACAGCACCGGCGACACCGCCAATAAGCGCCACACCTGGTGCCAGCATTTAAACTAAAATAATGCACTTAAGAAGCATCATAAAAAAGGAGTAAATAAAGGATAAAATAATGTTAAGGAGTAAAACATCAGAAACGGTCGAAAAACAAAAAAAAATTGGGGGTTTTCCATAAGTTTAAACGTGGAATTCTCTGGCAAGTAAGGAAGGTGTGAAAACAAGAGACATGCAGTGTGTTTCATTCATCGCTTTACACATCACTCTTATCCCGTAGGAATGTCATTGTTGTAATGAGCCATTCTCGCTCAGATACACAATTATTTACCCCCACTAAATTCCAACCATCATTTAGCAGCAACTCCGTTACAACACGGCGGTCACCGTTCACACTACGCGAAAAATCACCTGTCCACCAACGCTGCTGTTCACCACTTGTACCGCCCACTGCTGCACTTTTTACAAGGAACTGCTCCAACAGATACCGCATCTTTACTTTTGAATTGAGCTGCGCTGCCACATCATCAGAGCACAGTAAGCGGCAACTAACATTATCAGAACCTTTCGAATCGCCAAATCGTTTAAAGTGTTCCCACACCTCTACATACGTCACCTCCTTTGCTAGTCGCCGAGCTGTCGGTCTTAGCATTCCCCTCCTTTCACTCACCTTCACGTTATGCACAAAGTAAGAAAAAAAAAAAAAAGAAAAAAACACAAAGACTGAGTAAAAATTCAAAAAAAAAAAAACAAATGTGGAACAAGTGTTTAGGATAATAATAGAAAACAAATAAAGAAACAATCCAAACCTCCTCTTACACGGGGTGAATATAAATGAAACTCATTGCAGAAAAAAAAACAATGATTTCGTGAAACTGTATCACCACTGGCGATTATTCGTCCCGTATCTTCCACGACCACCACCACCACCACCGCGTCGTGGGCGGTGTCCACTCATGTAATGCCCGCCGTTAAACGGAATTGCGCCACCGTCGAAGAAAACTTCTTCTGGGTCCACATACTCATTTTCATCAAAACCATATCCATACGGATCCTCAAGGTCTTCCGCGAAGTCTGTGAAATCAATATCAGGAGATTCCGCGTAGTAGTAACCTCTTGGACGCCTTTGCGTTGGATGTGATGATCGCCTATTGTCATCACTCCAACGATTAAATTCAGCGACAACATCAGGTGTTTTCTTCCCTAATGCATTGGCGATAAAATCAAAACTTTTCCCATCTTGGTACATATTCACCATCGCATTCAGATCAGCATCAGGCCATGTTGTGGTCTTACGGGGAGTACTATTCTTTGGTCGACGACGGTTGTCATTGTGTGGCTTTTTTTGTCCACTTCTTGATGTATCTGAGCCATGTTGTTGTTGTTGTTGTTTTTGTTGTGGCTGCTGATGATTATGATTGTGATTATGATGGTTTTGCTGTTGATAGTTTTGACGCCGTTTACTTTCATAAGGAGGACCCCGCGCATACGCCTCGCTCTCGGCCTGTCGACGCATTTCATCCCACATCATTTCATAAATGAGAGGGTTAAGATCCTCGTGCCACGGCTGATACGGCTCGTCACTTGAGGTATAGTAAGCATATGAATTGTTGCTGTTTTTATTATTCTGAGATGGACGAGATCCACCAGACAGTACACCACCTGCCTTATGAAACCGACTTATAGTGGCGTAGGCGTTGTTAATGTTAACCATGCGTTTAGACGCGTCACCCGCACTCCCATTGTTAACATCTGGGTGATGTTGTTTCGCAAGTTCTACATATCGTTTCTTCACATCTTGAAATGGAGAAGAAGTGGCGACGCCTAGTGCCGCGTAGGCACTTCGAACTTCCTCTTCTGATGGCATCTGTGAGGCTGTGTGTCGCTGCTGCAGCAAAAGAGCCCCACTATTGGGGAATCTAAAAAGACTCCTGAATGCAGTTCTACTACGCATGCCTCTTCAAGGGAAAAAACTGCACTTGTACGTAGACACATAAAGAAAGAAAGAGAGAGAGAAAAAAGGAGCAGAAATCAAAAACATGTATGCATATATATATATATATATATATATATATATATATATATATATATATATATGGGAAACCAGAGGAGAAAGAAACAAGGTAAAAATACCTCAGGAAAAGAAAAAAAAAAAAAACGAGATATCTTTGCCACCAATTTACCTGATTGCCAAGAAAGGGAAATGATATCCCATTGCACACACACACACACACAAATAGACACATACAAGAAACAAGAATGTTGATAAAAAGAAATAAAAATAAAATCAATCAATCAATCAATTAAAATAAATAAATAAAAAGTAGAATGAAGAAATAACAATACGAAGGGGAAAAAATATATATTTAGAGATCCTCATCAACGGCATTCTTCTTCTTATCAATCCATTCGGTATACCCACCGGCGAAGTAGGTTGCTTTCTTGAAACCAATCGCATTTACAACTTCCACGGCTATTGAAGATCGGCCGTTTCGTTGGTCATAGAAAACAATTTTATCAAATTTGCGTGGCATGCGTGAGTTGTACTTTCCTCTAAACTCACTTTCACTCATTCGAAATGCGTGACGAATTTCTTGTGACGGGATGTGAATAGAGTACGGGATAGAACCATACTCCTCCACTTCAAACTTATCCCGCACATCAACAAGAAAAACATCACTGTTTTTTCCTTCTTTTTTGCTTTTTATGAGTGCCTCCATTTCAAAGACGTTAAGCACCCTCATATCCTCCAGATTTTCAAAAGATGTACCTTGGCCCATTTTCAACTTTCAATCTAAGAAATCATGAAGAATGAGAGAAAAAAAAAAAAAGAAGAAAACCAGTGCGAGATTAAAAAACAAATAAAAAAATATGCATACATAAAGAGATTAGGAAATAGAGGGAGAAAAAAATATAAGAAAAAAAATAAAATTAAAGGAAAAAAGTAAAAAAAAAAAAAAAAAAACACATAAAAAGGGGCAAGTGCACCACTTTGAAATGAGTTTAATATAATGCAGAAACACATAGGCAAAGGTATGTCATTGTGTTCATATGCAGACGCTCATAATTATTCTCTTGTTTCTTTTTTCTTCGTTTTGTGTTCTCAAGGCTTTTTTGCACATGTTTTTTTCCTGTTTTTTTTATTTTTTAATATGTTCCGATCACGGTTTAAGACTCAGTAGCTTAGCTCATCAATAAAGCACAATGAAGTCACGTTTTATTGACATGGTTTTTTTCTTCTTTTTTGTAGTTGATTGTATAGAATATGACAATTGCCAAGAGAAAAAAAGAAAAATAATTTACGGATTTTTTTGTGTTGTTTTACTCTCAGCTGGAATGGATTTACCGTAGGAGTCTTGCCACTCAGAAAAACTCCCTGTAAAGTTTCTTGTGCCGCTGTAACCCAGTCCCTCTGCGATTTCTGTTGCTATAGATGATCTCACACCGTGAGCGCAGTAGAAGACCATTTGCGTTATCCCCTTTTGCGGTTTTGGAATACCAAATGTTTCCACAAACTCTTCCTCGTCCACGTCATCGCTTAGAACTACGTCGAGCATCTTGAGTGGTATATTCACTGCGGTTGGAATCACACCCGTGGCTGCAACTTCACCTGTGGAGCGAACATCAACGAGAAGTGTGTTCTCTACCGCCGGGCTGCCGCCAAGCTTCGCCCGCACCACCGCCGCCACCTGTTCAGCAGTGACGTGCAGCTGCCGACACCGAGTTAGGCCAAACATTTCCTTTCGTTGGGAAAGGAAAGTAAAAGAGAGGAGCAGGTGAGAGGGAGAGGTAAAAATAAAGAATACCCTAGCCTTACTCCCTCTTTAAAGAAATAAAACACAAGAGAAAAATATTTTGTTTCCATGATTGTTCAAACAAGTTTTGATGCATTATTTACATATCTCTATCAAATCTTTTCCCGATGATGATTGCTAATACATAACAGAAACTAACGAAATGGAAGTGCTGAGAAGCCCTTTTATCCCGA